GAAGACACTTATCAAGAGAATGAAAAGAAAAGCCACAAAAATTGTACCAGTACTTATGAATCCTATGTCAGATAAAGGTCTTCTATCTGTAACATATACAGAACTCTCAAAAACCAGTAAGAAAACAACTCAATTTTTAAACGGGCAAAGACTTGAAGAACCAGTTTACCAAGAAGATACAGGAATAGCAAATAAACACATGAAAAGATACTGAACATGATTAGTCATTAGGGAAATACAAATTAAAACCACTCTGCAATATGTGCCTAACAGAATGACTACAAAAAAAAAAAAAAAAGAAGGGCCATATAAATGTTGAAAAGGACGTGAAAACCTTAACTCAACTCCCACTAATACTGGTGGGAATGCAAACTGGTGCAGTCACTCTAGAAAACAGTCTGGCAGTTTCTAAACAAGTTAAACATTCACCTACCATATGACCCAGCCAATTAACTCCTAGGTTTTTTATCCAAGAAAAAAGAATGCCTACATCCCTACAAAGATCTGTACACAAATATTTGTAACAGCTTTTCTGATAATAAAAAAACTGAAAATAATTCATATGTCCATCAACTAGTGAACGTATAAAAAACCTGTAAGATATCCATATAATGAATATCACTCAGAAACAAAAAGGAATGAACTGCTGATAACCAAATATGGACCTCGATTATGCTGAGTAAAAGAAGCCAAAGACTACAAACTGTATGATTCCATTTATATAAAATTCTAGAACAAGCAAACTAAAGTGACGAAAAGTGGATCTTTAGTAGCCTGAGAAGAGGAGCACACCCAGGGAAGGAAGATTACAAAAGGGCAAAAAGAAACTTCTGGGAATAATGAATGGGTATGTTCAGAATCTTCAGAGTGGTCCAACTTTGAGGACAGATGTCAAAATTTAGCAAACTATGTATTTTCAATAAACGAAGCTTACCTCACCAAAGCTTGATTTTTTTTTTTTTTTAAACAGGAATAAGGAAAGGAATTCAGGACAAAATAAAGAATACTGAAGACACGCAAAGATGACTGACATAAGAACACAAGGAGTCCCTGAAAAGGAAAATCAAGGAAAATAATTTTTATCTCCTGAAATTAAAGGTATGAAAAATTTGAAAATACATATTGAAAGAGCATACCACATACCTGAGTATACTGACCCAAAATGCCCAACACTAAAACAAAGTCCCAAAAAATTACTGCGCTTAACAGAAAAAAATACCTTGGGAGTCTAGGCAAAAAGAATATATGGCTTTTAACGAGGTAAAGAAAATTGGATTATCATCTGATTATTTTTTGACAGGTACTCTGAGTTGGGGGAAACAATGGAATTAACATATTTAAGCTATTCAAGGACAGAAAATGAGAACCAAAAATTTTATTTCCAAACTGACCCACAAGAATAAAGGACACTGTCAACAATATATAAAAACTCGGGAAATGTCCCATGAACTCTGCCAAAATAATCTAGGAGAAAATGAACTTCAGACAACCAAACTGACTAGAGATACTGACCTAAGGACTGGTGGTGAGCATTTGATACAGAGCTACTATAAAAATAAGAATAAATGATGATTAGGAGAAACTTATGTAACAGCTATATGTCCAGATAATATAGATACAACTACTTTTCTTAAATTGGGGCTACAAATAGGGAGAGTATATGAACAATTTGGATGTTCTTACTAACTACACCAGTGAAGTTGTTATTATTATTAGACTTTTCTCGTGTCCTTGAGAACTAGAATTGTTAGAGTGGAAGAAGTAAAACTCTGTAGTCCTGATTTTGAACGGGAAGCATTAGAATGAATCATGTAGTATTTTATCAGTTCTGTCCACTGAAGAGGCTAGAAACAATGACCAACTCAATAATAATAAGCATCTCCAGTCTCCAGGTTGTAGTCTTTAAATACTACTTCCCACTAAAAGACACGGCTTCTTGAGAAATGTCTGATTTCAGGTCTAGGTAGGAATGAGCTTAGACCATATGCTAGGGGCGCCTGGGTGCCTCACTGGGTGAAGCCTCTGCCTTCAGCTCAGTTCATGGTCTCAGGGTCCTGAGACTGAGACCCACATCGGGCTCTCTGCTTGGCAGGAAGCCTGCTTCCCTGCCTGCTTGTGATCTCTCTTTCTGTGTCAAAAAAACAAAAACAAAAACAACAACCCTGACCATATTCTAATACCAGAGACTATGGACACTCAAAGACCACTAAGAGCCAAGTCAAAAGGACTCTGGGATCAAATGAAAGAGGCTCCCACAAGCCAAAGAGGGGACAATATGACCATCAAAAAGAGTAACTGCAATTAAAACTTATCAAATGTTTAAATCCACAATTGAAACCCATCAAATATTCAAATTCGTTACGAAACCTACCACATATGTTTCTGTTTATTCAGCACATACTATATACTTGGCATTAAGCTATAAACTGTTACCTTTGGTAAAGTGTCCTTTGAGGAAATGTCCCACTTTCAGGACAAAGTAACCTTTTCAACATTAAAAATAATTTTTTCAGGGGCGCCTGGATGGCTCAGACATTAAGCATTTGCCTTCTGTTCAGGTCATGATCCCAGGATCCTGCACCAGGCTTCCTGCTCAGCAGGAAACCTGACTCTCCTCTCCCACTCCCTCTGCTTGTGTTCCCTCTCTCACTGTGTCTCTGTCAAATAAATAAATAAAATCTTAAAAAAAAAAAAAAAGTTTCTTGAAGTAGCCCAAACCAGCAAAATTTGGAGATTGTTTTAGAGAAATCATCTGTCTTCATTACAGTTTAGTAAGCCATGTCTTGGCATCTTTCCCAACTTCCTACGTTAGATGTTTATAGGTAATTTTTAAAAGACCATAAAGGAAAATTGCTCCAGTATTTTTTAGATTTTCCTACAACCTCCTACTCAGTAAAAACGTATGCTATAATTTTAAAATCTCTCTAAAGCTAAAAACACCTAGTGTCAAATTGGGCTTTTTTAATGGAAAATAAATAGCCTAGGCTGTCATTGATGTTCGTCCATAAAGAAAGTCCACGTATCTCTTCTGTAATGATTTCTTGCCATAAGATATCAACGAAAATAAAAACTATGGAATTCTTATCTCAAGCCACCCATCCATCCTAAAACACCGAAAAGATCTGATCTGCTGCTCTTTACATTTTCTTGTTAAAATCTTGTAAGTTAGACAAAGCTTAGTTTAACCATAAAGTGGATGACAGAAAGTGCAAATTTCAGAATCAAAAGGCATGCACATGTCGATTAAAAACAAAAAGATTAAAGCTAAACGTGTAAACACCAGCTGCTTTAATGACAAATTTAAAAATACTATAAATTCTATAAAGAATCTAACATCACCATTTTAATACAAAATAATATTAGTGAATGCAAATAAATGTGGGGTGGGAGTAAGTAGATAGCAGAATTTTGTAAGTCTTCTATACAAACAAATAATTGTCCACAAAAATCAGGTTAAATTTCCCTAGCCACATGGTGATCCAGTCTGACAGGATATTAAGAAGTTTTCTTTCAGAAGTTTTCAACTATTTACAGCCAATGTAGTTTATCAAAAGAGAAGCCAGTTTGTACAGACCTGATAAGGAGAAGAGGTTTTAAGTATTTATCTCCAGATAGTTTGACATAATCTTGTTTATCAAAACTCTGAAAGTAAAAGCTTCCCCTCTTGATATTGTAGAGGGATAAGTTTGAACCAACTGACGATTTAAAAGAAATAGAGGAGATTTAAGAATTTATGATTTAGGGATTAATTTATTTTTGAAACATAGCAACTAGTCATTTTTAAGCTTATCTACATAAATATCAGTTATGTTGCATCAATTTTTAAAATCAAGATGTTCTAAGAGAGACTATAATTCAGAGACAAATGTAATTTTTTTCCTCCTAAAGAGTTCCACTTTTTAAGTGGAATAAATAAAAATGTAAGATTCAAAACATCATAGACACAGTCCTGTTAATTTTTAATAAAGCACTATGGAGACTCAGCTTATCTACAGGACTACTAAATACTACTAAATCAGAGGATCTTTTTTCCTTTCTAAATTTAGGCTCGTTATTAGAAGGCTACATATGTTACAACCACAAGTGCATCTTGTGAGAAATGAACATCTGCTAATAAAGCCCAAGAAAGTATACATCACTTGCTGAAGCTTACACTCACAGTAGGCCTCAAAAAGAATTTTAAAAATAGACAAGACATAGGGGAGCCAAAAGAAAGCTCATTTAATAACACTGCACCCAAAGAAACCTATCTCCTTCCTACTTCCCACCCCCCACAAAAAGAGTACAAGCAAGTCACCAAATCTACACTGCTTTCTACAAATTAACTTAGTGATGGCAAAAACAACTCCTGCAACACAAACTACACACACAATGAACTGGAATGGTACTTAAGAAAACAGCCCTAACTTCATAGTATAAGTTTCAGATTCACAACATTTGGAAACAAGCCTAATAAAATGCTGAGCATATGTAACAAGTTAGCTATCCTAGAAAGTTTACAGGACAATCAAAACTGTAGCATCTGGAATTTGTCAGATAATCACCCTAAGTCCTCAAGAGAATAAATAGAAGTGACACTTCAAACACTCACATATATAAATGTGACAACAAAAGGTTGGACAAAGGACAATATGAGAAAATACCACCAACAAAAAAAATTTGAGACAGAATCAAAGCCACAAAATTCCAAAAATAAGCCTGTTTGTTAGGGCCAGAAAGAGTCCTAACAGGATAGGCATTCTTATCCCTCGCACTGCAGACTAGTAAATTCTAAATCTACAAAAGCATAGATATGAAGGAAATTTTAACAAAATTTTAAAACTCATCAGAGAGTATGCATAAGGGAAATAAAGCATATGCACTTAGGAAATGCTTTAAATAAGTGGAGCTTGTACAGCTGTAAAAAGATTGTTCAATTCTTCTGAAATACACTCCCCCCCTTCTAAACAATTCTGAATGATACCTACGACCATAACAACAAATACATGTTTTCAACTCACATTGTCTCTCCAGTCTTGGCTACATGACAAAGAAACTGATCCAGGACAGGACAAACTTCCTTTTTTCCCCTCTTCTCAAAATCTAAATAAGGGAAGAAAGAAAAATTATCAGTATTTTCAAAGTCCATCAACCACTTAGAGTGCACTATAAAGACAAACTTTTCTCCCAGTTCTTTCTCAAATATAAAAAGCACTTAAAAAAATATATATTATCAGCTTCTCAGCCAAATATTCACCCCTGACTCTCACAAGTTCTACTTCTAACATCGGTCTCTTCACGTTGTAACAAGAATCCTCCTAAAGGGGGCACTCAACTTCTCCACAAATCATCCTTAATTCAGTGCTTCTCAAAGTGTAGTCCGGGGGAACACCAACACCAGATTTATCCGAGACACCAATTAAAATACAAATCCCAGGCCCCAACCCCCGTAAATTGTTTATCTAGGTAAAGTTCATAAATCTGCGTCTTAAGAAACTGCAGCTACCTCATGGTGCCGTTTCCACATGATTTTCGATGTCAATGCATAATTGTGAAAACGCTGAAATCACACGCTATTCTAAGTTTGAGAACCACCCGTTCTCAAGCCTGTTGCGTGGAAGGCGACCACCTCAGAATTAGGGCGCGTGGAGGAATGACTTCAGAAGCTCTGTAAAGACTTCCTGAGACACTTTAAAGTTGCTCTGCCGCCCTCTCCCCGCCCCCCACCACCACCCCAAACCTTCTACTTTTTCTCTCACCCAGACGCCTGGCGTGCGGGGGCCCGACGGAAAACGGAGCCTACCCGTAGGGGGGCTGCGGGCCCATGACCTCAAGCCCGAGGGGTGGGCGAGAGGCTGGGGCCCCTACCAAAGCTTCCCCGGCTCCCCTCCCCCAGCCCAGACATCGGCGGCCGACACAAAGCCCAGAGCCGGGCGGGAGGGAGCTGCCCACAGGGCTCCCCGCCCCTGGGGAGGTGGGAGGGGGATGGGAGCCGGGAAAGCGCCCCCCCCTCCCCCGCTCCAGACTGGCCCGGCTCCTCAGAGCCCCCTGCCCAGAGAAAGGAGAGGGGGCCGCGGACGGTGAGGAGGAAGGGAGAGGGGGGCAGCTACCCCCACCTTTCAGCGCCTCCTGCAGCCTCTCGACGTCCATGGTTTCCCGGAGTCCCTCGCAGCCTCCGCCTCCCTCCGCGGGTCTCCCGGGGACCGGAACGCCTCCCCCCACCCCCCCGACGCCCTCCCCCTCCCTCGCACACACTCCGGCACGCAGGCGACCGGGGGGGGCACCGAAGGGAGCCGGGGGAAGCGAGCGAGAGAGCGAGACCGAGAGAGCGAGCACCTCCCCGAGCCGCTACCACCAGCCCTCCAACATGGCGCCCGGCACGTCACCGCGCGCACGCTCCCCGCCGCCGTCCTCGCGCCCGCCGCGCGCCCCGACCCGGAGCCCGAGAGCGCGTGCGCGGCGGATGCGTGCCCCCCGGGCAGCGCCGGAGACCCGGCAGGCGCCCGCCGCCCCGCCTTCCCCCGGGTGGTGGACCCCGGCTTGCCTGCGCTGTACTCCAGGCGGATTGGTCGCGGCCGGGGACTGCAGGCCCTAGTTTTGAGTCTTTGGCATTTGCTGGCTGTGTGATGTTGAGCAATTTACTGAGCCTCTCTGAGCCTTACTTTCTCGGTCCGTGCAATGAGGGCACTGGTATCGACCACCCTGTACAGTTGCTGGGAGAATTAAGTGTGTACACACAGCCATCAGAGTACGCATTAAAAAAAGTGTTACGAATAATCCTACCAAGCATATCTCCGTGTCTGAACCCAACACTCATCACTGACCTACCTTGAAGAGAACTGATACATAAAAAAAGATAAAAAAATTTAGCGTTTGGAACCATCTGGATTCAAAGCCCAATTCGACCATTCCTATGTGACCCTGGACTAGTTATTTAAACTGACAGAGCCTCAGTTTCTTCACCTACAAAATGAGGGTTTGTAAAACACCCCTGAGACTCGAGTGAAATGGTGAACATGAAGCGTTCAGCAAGGTGCCTAGAACTTGTAAGCACTCGGTTAACGTGGCTGCTGTTTTCATTGTCATCATGATTTGGATTGCGTTACATAAGCACCCAGGAAGTTAGGGCGGGACCTCAGAAGGCCTCTCCAACCCCGACATTTCACAAATGGGAAAGCTGCGGTGTAGAAAGCTAGTCTGGCAAAACGGCTCCAGAACCCAGAACATCTTGCTCCTAGCCAGCGTGTTCCTTTTTATTATCTAATCTTGTCTCTGCACTTTCCAGGGAAAAGACACTGAGCTGTTCCACCTTGTCTCCTGAAAGCCTAGCACAAAGCCATGAAAGGAAGGAAGAAAAGGGGAGAAGGGCAGGAGGAAAGAAGGCTATTTTTGACTTGTGTCAGAAAGTGGGAATTTGGACACAGCGCTCCCAACTGCTGACCCTCTTAAAATAATGGCTCTGACTCTGCCCCTGGGTGGCAGATGTAGGCAAAAGCTCCCCAAAGCCAAAATACTTCTCATTTTGCCATCAGGGAACCAGTCTCTAGTGTCTTTAGACCCTTTCATTGTTCAGAGCATCCAGTTAAATAGCCTTACAGAGGGATGTATGAGGTTGGCATCAAATATACATACCCACCATGCCCAGCATTTAGTTATGGTGGTCCCTTCTAGTATGAAGGGGCCTATTCTCTAGATAGTAAAGCCTAACCCCCTTTCTCTCTACCACCCAGTCCTCTGTTTAGGCGAGTCTCTTTTTTGTCAGACTTGTGTGAGACTATATAGTTACTACTAGCCATGTGTGGTTATTTAAATTTTAATTAAAATTTTTAAAAATTTAAAATTCAGTTCTGGAGTTTTTCAATAAAATTTATTTCTCAATCGCACTAGCCACATTCCAAGAGCTTAACAGACACATGGGACTAATGGTTTCTGTATTGTCCAGCACAGATCAAGAAAATCCCATTATCAGTGTGCCTGGGTGGCTCAGTCAGTTAAGCCACTGACTCTTGATTTTGGCTCAGGGCATGATCTCAAGATGTTGAGATCCAGCCCTGGATGGTAGGAGTTTGCTTGAGATTCTCTCCCTCTCCCTCTTTCTCTGCCTCTTACCCTGTGCATGCTAGGGTGTGCTCTCTCACTCTCTCTCTCTCTCTCTCTCTCTCTCAAATAAATAAATCTCTTAAAAAATGAAAGAAAATCCCATTATCGGAGCGCCTGGGTGGCTCAGTGGGTTAAAGCCTCTGCCTTTGGCTCAGGTCATGATCTCAGGGTCCTGGGATAGAGCCCCGCATCGGGCTCCCTGCTCAGCAGGGAGCCTCCTTCCCCCTCTCTCTCTGTCTGCCTCTCTGCCTACTTGTGATCTCTGTCTGTCAAATAAATAAATAAAATATTAAAAAAAAAAAAAAAGAAAATCCCATTATCCAAAAAAGTTCCCTTGGTTAGAGAACATACCATGCTAATTTCTTCCATCTTGCCTTGTCCCTTTCCATCAGCTATTCCCTAACTTGGAGATGTCCTGACTTCAAAATGCTGGAGAAAGTCTATGATAGGAGGCAAAGTACACAAAACGGTGACAGGCTAAGGGAATCAGGGAAAGTATCCTGGGAGGAACTAGTGTTTAAGCTGAGACCTCAGTTATGAGAGGTAGGTAGCTAAGTGAAGTGGAGAGGAGAAGCTTGAAAACAGAAAATCCATTGGTGCACAGGCTTCGAAATGAGAAAGAACTAGATGGTTTCTGAAGAGTCATAGGAAATTCAGTCTGCCTTAAATTGAGAGTGCAAGGGCAGAAGAGGCAAGACAAGTGAGGCTGAAGTATTACTGCCTTTGGTTCATTTCTTCCTCCTTCCTTGAAATTCTCTTCTTGCCAATGTGCACAGTCTCTGTGCTTGCTGGAGCCTCCTACTGACACTAATTCCATTGGAGGAAAACAGAATGCAAATGTGACAGCCAGCTTCCACCATTCCCCCAGTAATTCTTGCCTCCTGGGTTTCATGTCCTCCCGCAGTCTCCTTCCACAATGAATCAGAGTTGGTCGGGGTGACCAATAAAAGTCCAGGGGAAGGGATGGCATTTGACTTCTGAAGCTTGGCCATAGAAAAGGCTTCAGCCTCACTAGAGTGGAAACCAGCTTCCCTGTTATTACAACACAAGAATAGCCCTATGAAGAGGCCCAAAAGTAGAGCTGAGGCCTTCGATGTGGGTCCATCAGCCCCAGGAAATCCTTCGAATGACAGCACCCCTACCTGGCATCTGGACCACAACCTTATGAGGGATCCCAAGCCAGAGCCACAGATCTAAGCTGCTTCTCAATTCCTGATCCACAAAAACTATGAAGATGAAAAATTCAGCTTCTAAATTCCAAGGTAACTGTTACACAGCAATAGATAACTAATGTAAAGAATGAGAATATTAATAGTAATAGCTAACATTTATTCAGTATTTTCTATGTGTCTAGTATTCTTTTAGGCACTTTACAAAAATGTCTGATTTTAGCCTTGCAAATATCCTGTGAGATTAGTGATATTATCCCCACTTATAGGAGAGAAAACAGGTATAAGAGGTGAACCAACTTGCCCAAGTTCACACAACTAACTACACAGACAGGTGACTGACCGATGATTCAAATCTAGAGTCATTGCAGAGCCTTTGACATCTTTCTTGTCCTCAAGAAGTTTGCAAACTACCCAGAGAGATAAGATGTGGGCACAGACTGAGGCAAAGTAGAAGGCAAGTATGCAAATCAGGTGGTCAGAGGCCTGCAAAAATTCCTCCAGGCAGGGAGGGATAGAAGTTGCCTTTTAGAAGGATCTCACTTAAATGTTGTAAAAGATTAGCACCAATTGGGAAGAAGCTTCCAGGCAGATGGAGTGGTATTAACCAAGCAAACAGTCCTTGAGAGCCTCCTAGGTACTGGCGAAATGATGGACCTTAAACAAACATGAACCTGCAGGAAGACTGGCCCATTGCTCTGTGTATGAAGGAGAGAAAAAGCTGAGCTTGAGAAGAGAGATACACAGTAGGAAGTGGAAGAGGAGACAGAGAAATAGGAGAGAACACCTGTACCTAAATCAGAGAAAACGTGCAAGGATGTTCTCATAAGCCCAGAGAGAATTACTGGAGTTTGTCCATCCCTCTGAGATGAGTCTGTGGGAAGGGACAAGAACAGGGAAAATCTAGAAAATCTAGAAAAATCTAGAAAAACCACACCGCATCTGCAAGGACTGGAGAAAAGGGAAGAGGCAAGGTTAAAATACTACAATAAAAAGCTATAGAGGCTCTTTGATTTTCATGGCCTTTTATTCATGCCTTTTAGTCCTTATTTGTATATCACGGTGGATACCAAGATGAAGCTAGGATAGGAAGGTGGACAAATGAAGATGAATGCAATTTCCTAAATAGGCAAGAGGGTAGCTTTACACATCATCAGAGTTAACTGTTTTCCAGACACTTTCAAGAGCTAACAGTTTTTTATCGGAAATAAGGGGAAGAAAGGGTCTGTTCTGAAAGACCCTTAGTTGTTTTCTCTGGCATCATAACAGGTGTGATTGCTGACAGCAGCCACGTTGGGCTGAAGAGTACCCAGAGGAGAGGAGTGAGGGCAGCCGAGGCTGATGACTTAACTAAGGTGGACAGTGGGGTCATATGTGAGTTCGCTTCAAATTGTGTGAAAGAAAAGGGGAATTTATTAGGAGAGAAGGATATTCTATGGGATCCAGGACTCTCACCAAACCCATTAGCCATTCTCTTTCTCAGCTCTGTATATCTTTCTCTCTCCCTCTCTCTCTGAATCCATGTTTACTGCTCACAAAAAGATGCCCTCATTGCCAAAGACTCGCTAAGATAAATGACCAGTATCTTTCAGTCACAAGCCGACTTGGGCCAAGTGCCCACTCAGCTGTGGTCTGGAACCCAGGGTCTCCCAATGTAAATCCGAATGCTTTGGCCATGAATGTGGGGCAGCAGGGCCAAGCAATGGAGAATTCTCAGAGAAGTAGGAGGTGTGGTGACCAGACGTCCCAGATATGACTAGAACAAGGGACCCAATTGTCCCTAACCCAACTCACATAGGAGGCAGAATGGTACCCTGTGGAGCCCAAGCCAATGAGTAATCTGAAGGTTCATCCTGACTGTGGGTGTTGTTTAGAAACACAATCCCATCATCCTATTTGGGAGTACAGTCTTCTAAGTGTGGACAAGAAACGGCACGTCCCTCTCTTCCTCAGGCAGGGCTAGGTAGGTACTAATCGGTTCTTGCTATCAAAGTCCACTTTTTAGCCTAGTCTCTCCCTCTTTCTCTCTCCTTCTCTCATATATTGTGAGTATATATATTGTGATGATTAATTTTGCATGCCAACTTGTCTGAGCCACAGAATCCCCAGAT